TTTTTGACTGCAGCCTTTCTCAAATGCACAAAGTTTCTGTGTTGCCAGTTTCAATGTTCATCTTTTTTTCACTTCTCTGTTGCACCTGGCTATAGTTGAGAAATACAGCTTACCTTTTGTTGCTGCTCCTCACTGAGGAAGTCAACCAAAGCCAGAAGAGTTGTTGTGGCTTGGGTCTAATTATTTTTATCATTTTTGTACTACCTCTCCGTTTTCTCTTCAACTATAATGATTGTCTTTTGCTTAATATGAGACTTGCCATTCAATCGGCTCAAAAATCCCATCAACGGGCTGATAAGTTGGTGGCATCCTCTTGTCATTACTGTAATTGATCCATAAGAACCCTCCAGCTCTCACAAATTACTCTTTGGTACAGTAGGGTGTAAAGAGAACAGTATTTTGCTGTTGTGAGCTGTAAACTGATATTTGCACAATTTATTTCTATTTAATTTCCCTTATTTTATTTTTCTCAATCAGGAGCTAAGGGAATTATGTAGCAATTGGGCTCTTAAGTGAGAAGAGTCTTGCAGCTGGAAAACACTGTTCAGAGTAAAATGGGTAGTATATGTTCATGATTGCCTAAATAACACATTTCAATGCAGGACTGTCTGTTGTACTTTTTTTCTTTTTTTTTTTAACACACTATGATAGCAAAAGTCAACATTTTGGTGTTAATGGGGAATTTTTCCAAGACCTTACTTTCAAGTGGCTAAGAGAGTACAAATTTGGGATAGCCAAAGGTGAATACAAATTGGCTAGTCCATTAGCATAGCTGTCCAGCTGCATCCTAGGCTCTGAGGCCACTCCAAAACCACAAGCCCAACTGCCTCAGAAGCCTGCCAAGGAGCCAGCTGCTGCTAATAAAGCAGACTCTACAACTTGGCATCTGGGGCCTGTGATTCCCATCCAAAAGGATTGTATGTGAAAAATATTTGAAATTTGTCTTTTTAAGTAGTGTTTTGCTTTGGAAGAGAAATGCTTTAGCCTAAACTTGCAACAAGTGAAAAACTACATAAGAGTAGTGTGGTTGCCATGGGAAGATAAATACTGTTCTTGTATAAGGATGTTGGTTGTTGGAAGGAGGAGTGTTGTTCAGCATTTCTGTGTTACTGAGTAAGAAAGACCAAGGTATCTCATTATTCATGCTTCGCTGTGCGCACTTGCATGGGACGCTGTTTCAGAGAGCTTAACAGTAGGGCTTAAGCACAAGGGTGTGTTCCTGAGACTGGATAAGAATTAAAGACATTAATTTCTCATTTTTAAATAATGGAAAAGGAGAAATTTCATTCATTTTTCAAAGATGAAAACAAATCCTATTATCCAGCCGTACTAAATTAATAAGCTGCTTGGAATGATCTACAAACTAGTTCATTCCCCTTACATTCCCCATTGAATAATGAAGCATGAGAATTGAAAAAGGAGTTGGTTGCATTGGTTATTTGAAAAATGAATGACGAAGCCAGCTCTGAATTCCAGCTCCCTTTTGAAGTAAAACGTGTAGATTTTGCCTAACACTTTTTTCTAGTGCTGCAAGTCCTATACTTGGCTGTGTTGGCAAAACATCCTTCCCAGATTTCCACAGCTGGTGTCAGGGTTTTCTGAGCCAGTCTGAAAAGCGTGCTCCTCATGACTCTCGTGGCATAGCATTTAAGTGCTTTGCCCCTGCCATGGAGGGGGCTGGTGTCAGAACAAGGGACAAATTTCCTGTGGCGGAGTGCGCAGGTGGCTCCCCAGGCGATGTCCCCCTTCGGCATCATCCAGGATCCTGTAGCTAGTGGCCCATATCTGGGATCATCGTCAGGTTGCCATTCATTTCTTTCATTCAAGGTATTAGGTGGAGATTAACAAACTGGACCCTTCACTCATTTGGAGGCAAAATGCATGCTTCTCTCATCAGTCATATGCTCATCAACTCAAAAAACAAGAACTCAAAGCTTTCTTCTGATTTGAAGCTTTGAATCTGGCAACTGGCCAGAAGATGTCATCAGCCCTAGTACAAGCAATTTTGTAATCCTTCTGCGGATGGTATTCTGGGATATTGGATATGCATGGAAATTACTGTGGGCTGCAGTGGCTGAGATTTATTAGTGAAGACCTTTTGGAATATAGCAGTTCTTGATGGTCTGAGAAGATCAACATCCTCCAAAGTGGAGTGCAGCTGCCTCTCTGGCCACCCTCAAAGCATCTCCCAGGATGCTGCTGTGAACCTGGGTGTCTGTGTGTGCCTATTGTATGAGCAGCACTTGCTTGAGAGACCACCTATCCTATGGCCTAATTCTCTGGGTGTACTGAGGACTGTTTTTTGGGAGTGTTTTTTTAATATCTGTGGCCTTAAAAATCAGTGTAAATGTAATTTGTGTTCACTTCTAGGTCCCCTTTCAGCTGACCAAGAGGGATAAAATGCCTTAAGCTTAAATTAGAATTAGGCCCCCAGTGCTCTCCTCTGTGTGAGGATAAAGATCTTATAATAGAATGAAAATTACACTTTGTATTTCAAAGATATATTTCCACTTTTTTTTTTTTTTTTTTCTTGATTGCTAGTTAGGTTGGCGTGAGAATAGGCCACTTACTGATTATCCCCTGCTAAGACATATATAATAATAACAATTAATAATTAAAGTATATAGCACTTTATTTGATTACAGAAAATTCTTTTCTTTGGGTCGTTTATGTGCGTTTGGTGCGTATGGTAAACTTGGAGGTGTGGGGTAAAGCAGTAATAATGTCAACTTGACTTTTGAAATTGTTATTCTTTTTTAATTTTACCTTACCAATGCTCAGAGATCACCACAGGATATTTCTTGAGTCCTTGGTAAGCTAATAGCAAACATGTGCTATACACCGTCACGTCTACCTCTGCCGTGGCCTTGGAGTGCGCAGAGATTGAAATATGCTTTCAGCCACTATGTTTTAAGGTGCACGTGTCTCTGTATTTGTTGGAGGTTGCTGTTGCTTGCAGTTTTACCCAGCCATCATGCCATAGCTGTGGCGTGGAGCTGATGTCCAGGATGTGCCCGTGGCACTGGGGCTGTCAAGGTGGTTCCCTGTGCTGGAACTCGGGGCTGCTGCTTTAGCTCTCTCTTTCTGGGAATAATATTGAAGCTTGGGTGGGTGGGGATTGCCCAGGGAAAAAACGTGTGTGCAGAGAAATACGATCTGTATGCATTAAGTGCTTTTGGTTGTCAGCAAAAGTATCTACACAGATACTATGGGAAGGGAGCTCATTGCCCTTTCTCTTTTACTGTTCATGAGAGTGAATGTCATTACTTGCTAGCATGGCGATTGCACTGTCTATTAAACTGATTTTTCCTCTTAATGGATCCTGCTTGATTCAAATTAAAACAAGGCTAGGTTGCAGAGGAAGTCTTACGTTCTGACACTTGATGGTGTGTTCCCACTTTTGTGGTTTAAATGGGAGAAACTAGGAAGGAAAGAAGGAAGGAGAAGGCAGCAGGAAAGGTATTGCTGCAAGTGTGGTGCTTTATGGGTTTCATCAAAGCCTGTGAGCTTCACCCATCACTGATGCTCCCCTTTTCTCCAACTTTCTTTGCTTCTTCTAAGTAAAAGCACTTGTTTGGAAGAGTTTAGAGCTACAAATTAAAAAATATCCATCTACTGAGGCTCTGTTTTAGTGTGTGCACAATTATAAGCACTGAAGTAGGGCCACCAAAACAAAGGGCTGTTGATTAGCATGATCAGGATGACTCACAGACTTCACTGTTCAAGGCCTAAATGCAGAATGAGCATATTAGAAGTCACTAAATGGTCATTGCCACTGTAATGAAAATTGCATATATTTTGCTTTTATTGGTCAGCATGTCATGGTTTACTTAGCACCGTCCCAGCATTTACCTGCTGTTGTAACCACACAAGCTGCTATCAGAATATACTGATGAACTTGTGGAAATGGGATTTCTTCCTTCTCAGCAGCTGGTTGCATTCCTAGTACTCTGACTCCAGTTCTTCCAACCTCTCCACCTGTGCCCCAGCACCCTCAGCTTCTCCCCCAGACCTCAGCTTTTCTGAGTTGGTCACAGCTTTACAGGACATGGCCTCCTCCTTCCAACTACTCCTCTGTTCTGACAAGTACTTGGGGCTGTGAGTAAATGCTGATGGTCAGAGAGCCAGCAATAGTTGCAGCAGCTTAAATTCCCTGTTGTTGTCTCAGTTCAGAGGTGCTGAGGTAATTTTTAAACATGTGTGTTTGCTTTCATAACATGTATCTATCAGGGAGTTAGGGGAGAGTGTTGTTTTCCCTGTGAGAACACCTCCCTTTTAAAGTGATATTTCTCAGTTGTTGTCTGTGGTTTGTGGTTGTTCAGAAGTGGGTAAGGTTTTGAGAATGGAAGGTCTTAGCCTGATCATCTTTTCCAAACTCTGTTCTCTGCTGTGAAAGCTGTCTGTAATGGAAGAGTCTTTTCAGACTGCTTTGGAATTTTTTTCATTCTCAGGCTAGCCAACTTTCTTCCACCTGACTTTGCTTGTACTGGATGCTCCTCATGTTTAGAAAAGACTAACTAGGCATTTGACAGCAGCTTCCATACCTTTGGCTAGATCATAGTTGTGTTTTAGACTGTTCTGAAAGCAGATTGTGTTGAACTTTTTTCTTTAATACCAGTTACTCCTGAATATCAGTCATTTCAGAGCTTCATTTTGTGATCTAGATAAAATAGGCTCATAATCAGGCTACTTCACTTCCAGATTAAAAACAAACAAACAAACAAACAAATATATATATAATGCACTTCATAGCCATGGCTAAACCCAAAGTCTTGGCCCTATTTTGTGATTTGAAAGGCATTGCTAGCCCGGGGTGGGTGCGCGTGCTGTAGGAACGGGCAGCTGGAGGCGGGCAGCGAGGGCAGGACAAGCATGCCCTTGGCAAGTGGTTCTGGAGTTACCTGGGTAAAGCACAAAAATCTGCCATGCTTCTGTTTTCCAGTAACAGCCTTTTCATTCTGTTTTGTTTCCAGCAGTCCTATGCACCAGCTCCCCACCCCATGGCTCCTCCCAGCCCCAGCACAAACAGCAGCAACAACAGCAGCAACAACAGCAGTGGAGAGCAGTTGAGTAAAACCAACCTGTACATTCGAGGCCTTCCACCCGGCACCACTGACCAGGACCTTATCAAGCTGTGCCAGCCGTAAGTGCACTTAAAACACTCAGTGTCTTCAGGTAGCAGAATTTCAGTTGGCCTTTCAGTTTACACTTACGGATGTCCTCAAAAAGACATTCGAAGCTTCCTACACTTGGAAGTTAACAGTATTCCTTTAGTTTGAACAGCTAATTGATGCCTATTGAAAACCTTCTGGTAATGAATTTTGGGATAAAGAGAGGTGATGGCTTCCACACTGACTTCTGTTTATTTTAATCTGTTTTCTTTCTTACGTTAAAGGAGAATTATCATGGCAAATACACTCTCCCTGATACAGATTTTATGGTTACAATGATCTGTGCCTCACAACTCAGTGCACAACAAAACATGGGTGTTCCCACCTCGGTCATTTATCATATCTTTTTATTGTTGTATCACATGTTGCCAGACTCAAAGATTGAGACGTATGAAACCTGCCGAAAGTGGCCTTGTAGCCATCTAATTAACTGCAGTTCCACTGAAAAATGATGATGTAGAAAGTAGCACCTTCTACCGCTCTGTTTATCTTGAGAGTCATGTTTGAAAATTGTACTGATGGATATCAGTTTTATTGTGGTTTATTCCTTTGAAACTGGAGAGGTAGCAGAAAGGAGCTCTTTGTTCCTCATGCGTCATCAAAAGAACTGTTCCCTAAAGTGTTGCATCCTGCTATCCCTCCTCACTTGACTGAATGTAGTAGGTAATGAGTAGAAATGAGAACCTGTTGGGATTTCCAAAGTCTTGATTATTACTGATGACATGTGGGAAGGGAATAATCCAGTTTGAGATTCCAACCAGAGATTACCTAGGTGGGATTTAGGATAATACATTTTTGTGTTGAGTTAGAACATGGAGAGATTTGAAAAAGAAAAATCCACCTTTACTATGATGCAGAACTGCAGCACTTTTGCTGTTGTATAGTCTATTCCAAAAGACAACAGCGTTACTCATACTTTTCATCACAATTCAATCTTTCAAATAGGGATCAAGAAATGAAGTGTGGAAAATCAAGGTACAGTCTTGGACTGATCTACTGACTTGAATCCATATGACTGTTGTTTTGAAGCTTGCAATAGGAGTAACAATTCAGTAGGATGTTACAATTTTGTATCGTTCTGCCTTACCTGATTTTGACTAAAAATGCTGACAGACTTCCCTAAACATGCTGTTACATGAACATGGCTGGCCGGGACTGGAACTAGCAGTCTTACTGAAAGTCATACCAAACTACATTCGTTGATGCTTCCTGCTGGTGACAAAATAATCCCAGTTCAAGGGCCAGATCGACACTAGGTCTAAAATGACCATAGTTTACTTATGTTCAGAGAGCTATGTTGCTATAGGTGTTGAAGTTTGACCCTTTCCAAGACCAGACAAATGCTTTCAGCTGATCAGGAATGAACTAAATATTCCTAGAGCAACCTCACAGTTTTGGTGCTTCGTGCTTCAGTCATGGTATGAGGCTGTAGTATGAGCGGTGCTACCTGAATCAAGAAGTTCAGAGCGCACACCCCTACTCTTTTTTCTGCATATGGGAAGTGCACATCAAGTACCTGAGATCTTCCTTTCTGCACCATGGCAAAATTTTCAATGTGTTCCATAAACTTAATGTTGCCTATGATTAGAGGGTTTTGTACTGCTATCATGAAGTTCCTTTGTAAACAGATGCTCTTTAAAAAAATGCTGGCATTAATTTTACTGATTTTCTATGCTTTGGCTGAGTGGAAGTGAGGAGAACCCAGATAGTTGCTCTGTCATTTTTCAGAATATTAAAAGTATTTATGAAAGCAAAAGGGAAGGACATTATAGGGAAGCTTAAACAGGGTGAAAAACCCAAGAATTTGTCATGGCAGCGTGTAGATTTTTAAATTAGTATATTGCAAGACATTCCCTTTACCTTTTGCAGATGATTGCATAGTGGAGGTGGATAAATGTCCAGATCCCTTCTCTCTTTTCCTTCCCTCCCCCCAGAAAAAAGCCCAAACAAATGAACAAAAAAAACCCCAAAAAACCCCAAACAGTATGTATAGCAGCAATCTGCTTCTATATGACCACGTTTGTCTCTTCAGAAGTGTTGTTTTCTGTAGAACACTGTTAGCTTACTTAGCTTTGGTCTCACCATGCATCAAAGACTTCATGTGAACAAGTACTCACAGAACAGCAGAAGGTGTGGGCTCTGACACTGCCTGAGTGGAAGTACGAGCATAATTTGATACAAGGTGTGAAATGAAAACCTGAATTCCAAGCCATAAACCATATTATTTTTCAGTACAAGATTTTTGAAGAGATGTGTTTAAGAGAGATATTCACCAAAACTAGCTTATGCCCAGGACACTGGTTCCCCTAGGCTAGCTACCAGTGCCTAAAATGAGTCCTTCTGAACCCACTCTAGCATGTGACAAGGCTGCCAGCATTACAACCGTCGCTTTTAATGACTGATGTTTGGTAGGTCTGAGGAATAATGTTCTAAACACAGGCTATTTCTCCCTCAGAAGTATAGGAAATGTGGATAGTTATGTACAATAATTGTAGCCCATTCCATTTCCACATTTATTTCAGCAAAGCCATCCTCTGAGTGATGTGTAACGTATTTTTATTTAATTGCGTTTTGCTAAGTGGGTTATGGAGGTAAAAAAAAAATTACTCAGAATTGTTTGATGAAGTACATTGTTTTGGTGATAAAGTATATTGTTTTGGAGAATCCTTCCTGCTTTTCAGTGTTTCTGCTGTGTATTTTTGGGAGGTGTGTGTTGCACACTAAAGAGAAAACAGCAAACTGGAGTACCACTGGTGCTTGAAGTGCAGAGTCCATTACACGTGGTGTCAGACGTTTCTGACAAATGTCCCGACACTACCAAACCTTTTATCAATTTAAGAGTAACCTTGTCATAGGAATCTGTCAAACTGTTCATATAACTAAAGGAAAACAAGTCATCATACGCTGTATAGTAGCTGAGTAAATAAAAAAAAAAAAATGGCTACTAGAAAATTTTCTTTTTCTGTGGTTCTGATCCTCAGTATTTGGTTTAACATGTGTCCAGCAAAATTATATGAAATTCTTTTTTATAGCAGGGAGCTTGTTAGGTTACACTGTATTTTTTAAGACTTGTAACCTTTGACATAGTCATTGTATAATTGAAAATGAATGAACGGGAATGTTTAGTAAGCAAGAATTTTTTGTTCTTTTATGTATGTATCCTCTTTTTGTATTTTCATAAATACTGAGTAAAGGAACTTCCAGAAATGGACCTTGGCCTCTCAAACTTTCCTGAGATTTTTGAAAAAGAGAATTTATAGCAATCTGTGATCATAGTGATCATCACAATTTATTGGTCTAAAATTTTGATTTTTAAATATGTCATGAAAATAATAGTAAATATCACATCATTAACATTTATTTCCCTGAGGTACATAGTCTCTGCTGGTGCAATGGTATGTGCCATTATATCTGTATCTTCCCAGTCAAAATATGCTTTTAATCAAATGGAAAGATAATGAACCTTCAGGTGTAAAATTACAGATCATAGGTAGAAAAATGTGCATGGTGTGTTGCTGTGCAAGCAAAATATAAGGTATTATCTTTGAATCATTCATAATATTCAATTATGAATATTTGAAATATTAATAATCTGTCACTCTTATTTTCATTCATGGTGTTATATTTAATCCAGAAGAATTCAAAAATTCTCTTAAAAACATACATAGATGGCTTAGTCCCCTGTTGGTGTATCGGACACATCCCATTCTTACTAACTAGTGGAGACAGACTGAAAGAAATGTCAAGCACAAACATTTGAACTTTATTATTTTGGAATATTCTTAATTTAAAAAAGTCACAGTATGTCTCTTCAGGGTTTGATCTTTCTGTCTGTCTTTTCCTACGTGTTTGTGCTGAAGAAGACGTAAGCTAAAAATTTCTTAAAAGATAAAGTAATTTTTCGAGAAGAGAAAAGCAATTTGGGAAAAGAGATATAAAGTCTCTCCCTCTCACCCTGAATACTTTTGAAAAGTTGCCTTAAAAACCGTGTTTGACTTAAAAAAAAGTGTTGTGCATTGCTTAGTTAAGACATTAGCATGTATTCAAAAGATAATCCATGTCCATCTTGAGTCAGTCATGAATTTTTCATGCCCAGTCTATGTTCTGCAAGAAAAGCTACTTCAAAGTTCTGGTGTCATATAAGCTATGTTTGTAAATGTTTTTGTCCTGACTTAGCCCTCTCTCCTTGCATCTTTAATGTACCTTCAGAAATCTATTTCCACATGCTTTGTTCTTACTTGGATTAGTTACCTAATTACTCTCCAAGTTTGACTTCTTTGTAGTCCAGGGTAAAAATAAAGCACTTAATTGAAACAACAGTATAAAGGCCCAGATCAGGCCCAGTCACCACAGGTTTATGAAAGGCAGGTCCTGCTTGACTAACCTGATCTCCTTGGTGGCCAGTCACAAATGGTGTTCTCCAGGACTTGATATTGGTCTCTGTTCTCTTTAATATCTTTATCAGTGATCTGGATGAGGGGATTGTGTGCACCCTCAGTAAGTTTGCAGGTTGAGTGGGTCTGTTGATCTGCTTAAAGGCAGAAAGGCTTTACACAGAAATTTGGACAGGCTGGAGCAGTGAGCTGAGGCCAGTAGTATGAGGTTCAACAATGGCAAATGCTGGGTCCTGCAGCTGGGTCACAACAACCTGATGAAATGCTCCAGGCTTGGGGAATTGTGGATGGAAAGCTACCCAGTGGAGAAAAGTCTGGGGTGTTGGTCAACTGTTGGCTGAATATAAGTCAGCAATGTGCCCAGGTGACCAAGAAGGCCAACAGCGTCCTGGCATGTATCACAAATAGTGTGGCTGGCAGGACTAGAGAAGTGATTGTCCCCCTGTACTTGGCACTGGTGAAGCCATACCTCAAATACTGTGTTTGCTTTTGGGCCCCTCACTAGAAGGAGGACACAGAGGTGCTGGAGTGTGTCCATAGAAAGGCAGTGAAGCTGGTGAAGGATTTAGAGCACCATT